CCCATGGTGATGGTTAATTATTACCTTCATTATTTCTGCAGTGCTTTCAGAATAAATAAAAAAAACTCCAGAAAAGCTAGCTCAGGATGTAATAAGTCAAGGGCCTTCTTTAATATTAACCGAATAAGCTGTGGCCGATGTGATGTGATAACCCAGCAGTGACAGAGGTCGCGGTATGAAACGAGCGCCCCCATGTTGCATCGCGTGCGGTCACCGTCGTACGCTTGTGCCGCCGATTCGCCTGATGGACGTCGCACTTTGTTCAAGTTCACCCGAGGCGCGCGCGCGTTTGGCGCTGAGATTTTTTTAAAGCGCCACGTGAAACTGATGCCACACGTTCACGCCCGCGCACGGTGAATGTCAGATATCGGGAACACCAGACCGGTCTGTTACTTTGCCACGCGCGCATATACATTAACCACTTTGCACGTGCCAATTGAGAGTCGCTATACACGGGGTCTCATTTTTTTGTACACTTTTTGTGTTTATTCACGAGTCAATCGAATGAAACGTGCGCGTCTATTCACAGTTGTTGATTCCCTTTGAAATGTGGCACCCACTAACAGCCCAGCTAATCACAGTTATTCCATCAAGTGCGTTTTCCGCCCCTTGCCCTCCCTTGCAAAGAAGGCGCTGCACGTCAGACGAATGTTCTCTTGTTGTGAAGGACCGTCTTGTTCACGCAGCACGTGTCACACTCGTAATGCGTGTGTCATGGGCACGTGTCACACTCGTAATGCGTGTGTCATGGGCACGTGTCACACTCGTAATGCGTGTGTCATGGACACGTGTCACACTCGTAATGCGTGTGTCATGGACACGTGTCACACTCGTAATGCGTGTGTCATGGACACGTGTCACACTCGTAATGCGTGTGTCATGGACACGTGTCACACTCGTAATGCGTGTGTCATGGACACGTGTCACACTCGTAATGCGTGTGACACGCAGCACGTGTCACACTCGTAATGCGTGTGTCATGGGAACGTGTCAAGGCGCTGATTGGTCCAATTCACTTGGCTGTCACGCTCACAACACCTGCGTCGATTCATGCGCGTGGAAAAAAAAGATTTATAATTCGTGCAAATTATTGTACTCATGTTGCTCGTGGGGTGAACAAATAAGACGGAAGGAACACGGGAAAAACACAAACGGGACGGACGGTGAACATGGCACGCAAAGTAATCGAATCTCGAATCAGATCGTGAATCGTCGCGGTTCACATTGAACCGATGGCCACGGGTTCAATCATTGCATCTCTCGCATCAAAATATCCCGCGGCAATTATTAACAGCGTTGCGGATTGCAACGTGCTGCCTGTGAAAGATGCGATGTAAAAATTTACGATGATGATTATGACGACGTGAACGATAATGACGATGACCACGTAGATGATGTTGGTAGTGTTTATAGTTAACGCGCGTGCAGGCCACAGTAGTGCGCAACGCAGTGGTGCACGGCAGTGTTGGCGAGAAATTACTTAGCAGAGACGGTACGTGGGAGGACACACGAGGGCCCGGCATTACTCGGAGTGAATTTCTCTTCCCGCTTCTCTCGTGTGCGATGCTGCTGAGAGTCCCGCTGCCTGCACGTCGCAAGAAGAGTAGAGGGAACAACGGGGTACCATCTCTTCGTGTTATCATTTCCCGCAAAAAGAAAATTTCCAAAGAAAATATGTGATTATGCATAAGTACAGCCAAACACACGTCCACGTGTACGTCAGTACATGCCTGTGTGTGTGTGTGCTAGGGGAGCGGTGGCGCAGCGGTTAGCGCGCTGCGCTACGAACCTCGCACCCCGAATTCGATTCCCGCTCGTGGCGACCACCAGTTATGATTATCTGAACTGGTCCTGGGCCTCGCCTAGGTCGACTCAGCCTCAAATGAGTACCTGGTGCGGTGTGTAAACATCGCCACTGGGGAGACAAAGGTGGTCGGGCGTGGTGCCGGCCCACCCACCCCCTCGTGTGTCGTGCCCCAACAGTCTGTAGGGGGATCTTTGTCTTTGTTCAACAATACTATCGGCACAGGACCGGTGGTGTGGTGGTTAAGCCACTGCAATAAAATCCAAGCCGCCGACGTGCTTGATGTGTTTGTTTGCTGGACGTGGTCACACCCGCACCGATGGGGAAGCACGTTCGGTTTTGGCGTGGGCCTTCTTTAGGTTAACTCGACCTACAATTGGAATCCTGGCACAATTAAAATAGTTCTCACTTATCACTGCCAAAGAGAAGCATATTTTGGTGGAACAAGCGGAATCCACTCAGCTACCACCCCGGATGATATTGAATGGCTTACAAAACCAATTGTCGCCGTGCTGCGTTTTTAAATGCCATTTACAAAAAAACTAAGATTACAATTATACCGATTGAGACATTGCCTGGCAGCGCTTACGACCCAGACAGATTCACCATCTCATTGCGATAGCCTGAGACGCATCCATGTATGCGTTGAACGTTTGGTGGGGAGTGGTGGCACTGTGGGTTAAAACAATGCCCTACGAACCCAGCAACGTGAGTTCGATTCCAGAGCACAGCCAGCGTTTGTGGTGAGTGATATCTGAATCATTTCCTGGGCCTCCCTTAGATAGACTCAGCCTTTAATTGCTCCCTTTTCAGTGTGTAAGCATCAGCACTGGTGAAGAGACAAAGGTGGCCGAGAGTGGTGCTGGCCCCCATCATCATCACCCCCTTCTGCGCCGTGTCAGCCTGACTGAATGGGTGCTCGAGAACAGCCCTTGCTCCCACAGGCTGTATGTCTACACGGGGTGGCGGGGGAGTGAGATCTTTGTCTCTATCTGCTGCAGCATCTGGGCAGGCGGCTTCAGGCAGGGACTGAGCCGGTCTCGGGCTGTGATTTACGGCGGCAGGCTGTGTTGCCCGAGGCTGCGTGACGAGCAAGCGCCGCACAATCGGACTCGGCACAGCCGCTTGCTCGCTCTCTCTCTAAACACGTCCCCCCCCCCCCATCAGCGCCGAGCTCCTTCTGCCTCGAACCCCCAGCGACCCTCGTCTCGCCGACTAAAAACACGACGCGTGTCGCTGTGGGCTCAGAGGTCTGTGGTCTCCTCCCGCGCCGTTCCAGCCAAAGCTTTCCGTTGCGTACAAGCAAAATCACCCTCACCACCACCACCCACTCAAGCAGCCCAGCCTGCGTGAAACTGTGCTCATATACAGGGTGCTTCAAAAAATGTTTGAACACTTTTGCGAATTTGCGACGATACCAGAATAAATGTGCTGCCTCTGGGCTCTGGAGACCACCTGTAGAAGATTCCAGGAACGCGTTGACAATGATGGCGAGCAAGTGGAGGAGACTCTGACTTTTTGTTATCACGTTACGGTGTCATTATTATCCGCTCTTTTTCCATTAAAAACGATAGTCCCATGTAAATGTCAACCATTGTTTTGATGCACCCCTCTATACGGTCGTTGGCTGCAACAGATGACGAGCGAGTGTCCGCGTGTCGCCCAGCCTTGGGGCGACTGTGCGCGGAAACAAGGACAAGGCGATTCTTGTTGGTTGGCGATGCTGCTGCGTCGGCAATGGTGCACAAGCACTTTTAACAAAAGAGACTCAACAAACCCCATCAGCAACGCTGCCTTAAAAGAAAACAATACATAATCGGCGACGTTTCAGGCAATGGCCCTTGCTGAGGAATGCGATGAAGTGCCATTGCCTGAAATGCCGCCGATTTTATACTGAGTATACATGTTTCTTTTATTTTAAGGCAGTGTGGTGTTGATGAGTGGAGGCCCATCAGTTTCAAAGCCAATGCGAATACAATCAGAACACGTTCGTTTTCATGTTCACCACAAGTACCGTGTGTGGTCAATGCAGTAACTTGAGTCCTTGCAAAAGGCTTCTATTTTGGTGTTTAAATATCTTAACACCTCCTGTGTTATTTACAGAAAGGGTAAAACCTATTATTATTATTTTGTTATACTTTGATGAATGTGTTGAGTTTGTTGTTAATAACGAGAAGCGATTGACTATTTGGAGTTGTGATTCGATTTTTATTTATTTTGTTTAACATATTTGTCTCATTTTCACTCTCCAGTCATCTTTTCGAAATCGTGCACTCCATGCGCCTCAATTTCACACGAGAATGTCATTTTACACAGATCGTGAAGGCAATACGCGATGACTGTCACTCGCAAAATTCGTTTCATGTACAGTGAGCAGGAGCATCGATTTGAATCGATGCGTTGACACTTGGCTCGGGAAAAAGGATGCACTCTCTGAATGATACTTCACCGCTTTGCATTTTGGCCAACAGGCCTGCAGGATGGCATTACAGTCGTGTTTATGTCTGCCGCTCACTGAAGCAGCATTGAGATATAGATATGTACTGACATGTATTTCCATTTCCTGCCTACTCCTTTTGGGGCTCCGTGACTAAGCGGTGATGTCCTCACCTACAACACTGCGCCTTCCTGACAGCCGAGACGGCTCGTCTCACTGATGAGCCCGAACGAGCGTGAATTTCATTAGGTTGACAAGATTTGTCAGTGGTGAACTTTACAATAATACGAATAATTTATATGTGCATATTGTGCATTTGCGATGCATGCTTGAGCTTCGTCAACCCACATTTTTATTTTAAAACTGAATCAACCTACACGAGGCCCAGAGAGAGAGACAGGCACGGATACGGAGAGGGACACAGCGAATGGGAGATACAGAGAGACATAGAGAGAGAAAAACACAGAGACAGATAGAGAGACGACACGGTGAAAGAGGCAAACACAGAGAGACATGGAGAGTGACAAACAGTCACGGAGAGGCAGGCACAGAGAGGGACCCGGGGAAAGACACACACACACAGATCATTCTGGGTGGTCCTAAAGAAGGGAGACCCTTGTTCACATGCACGAGTCATGGACACGTACACGCACACACACACACCGGAACCAAGCACCCTGACCATCGCATGGGAAATGTTTCACGTTGCGACGCGTGGATTTATCTAACGGGGTCCTGTGGGGTGTGCCTTGGCGACAGACCCTGAAGCACCCCAACCTGGTGAACATGCTGGAGGTGTTCCGCAGGAAGCGCCGGCTGCACCTCGTCTTCGAGTTCTGCGACCACACGGTGCTCAACGAGCTGCACCGCTACCCCCACGGGTACGAGCGCAGATCCTGCTGCCCGCACTCCATTGCACCTCCCATTGGCACGGTTGGTTACTTGCAGTTGCGAAGGTTACTAACTGATTAAATGGCTTATCACGTGGGTAAAAACCGAAGGACCCTTCGGGGAGAGAAAACACGCAAACTCCAAATATACAGGAGTCAGGGTCGGGATCGAACCCCTGATCTCCTGCATACAAGGCGAGGTAGTTAACATCCCGCCACCGCGGCGCCCCAAAGGTCAAACATGCATGCACCCTGCCTCAAGCTCGCTCGTCTCGCTCTCTCCATGCCAGCAGTCTCGTCCGGCGGGGTGGGTGCAGAAATCTTCAGGGGATGGGAGGGTGGGGGCAGGGCGGGGGGTTGGTGGACAGAGGCGCGTTGCAGCTGGATTCTGTGCTGGTTCAACTTCAAATGTCCACGGGGAACGTCAATGCCACATTGGTGACGAAGCAGATGAATGCACATGTATGTAGATGTATGTTGAATTTCTTTCGGACCGCACATAGCCAACCGTGCTAATCGGAGGTGCAGGGAAGTATAATAAAACTAAACGCAAAAAGCGGCTTTAAAGAAATGAGTTTTAAATCTAGATGGTGATTTAAATGTGCATAGCTCCAGTGGCTTCCTAATATCGGAAGGAAGAGCGTTCCAGACGGCCGCCAAAGCGCATCTGAAAGCGCGCGATGTGGTGACCGTCTTTGTCCGATGGCTGGCCAAAAGCCGCTGTGCGGATGACTGATGTTCGCTCATTAACTAGAGACGTGAATATGTGATTTAATAATAATTCACACCTCTGTACGTCTCTGTTTTGTGGCCTGAGTCAGCTTAGATGTGTTTTGTCACTGGAAGATGGTGTAGGAATTAGTCTTCTTGACTTGGGGGTTTTATTAAGATTCCAATAAGCTTGAGACTCACTGTTCCATACAATAAAAAGTGAATGTGCAGTCCTGTAATTGCTTGCTCACGCAACTGCTGGCAGAGGGAGCTCTAGAAAGCCCTCTAGATGGTGTGTGACTGACTCTTCCACGCTTGCCAGGCGTTTTGGTAGAGGTGGGAGTACCCACATCCTTACCCCCACCACACACGTGACCAACCGATCAACTCACTGCGGTGAGTTCATGAACGTAGACTGCCGGGTGGACAGAGGCAGGGAGCGGGGAGGGAGGATGGAGAATTTAAGAAATCTGCACCGTTGTTTCAACCGAACCGGCGACCGTTGGATTGCAAGTCCAAGTGGGGTGAGCGTTAAACTCCTCTGTGTACACTCGGGGATAGATTTTATGAAGAGTCGGGATTGAGGGCATGGGATCGATTAAATTAGTTTGTGGGACAACGTGAACAGATGGATGGGACTTTCCCACGGGAGACACTCGTCATGGGTCGTCAACCCGCGCCTCCCTTTTCCCGCACCTCTGATCAGCGCGCTTGGCTTCGTACGGTGAAAAAGAAGTTCAACCTACCTCGGTCATGGGGCTGGTGTGAGGTTGATGAATAGATTCGACTCAACAATTGCCTTTTTTTACATTGCAATGAGTGAATGAAACCAACAGTCGTTCTTCCCCCATCATAGAAAAGTGGAATTTCCACCCCTGGCTCATGGCTTTCTCAGAGTAAATACCGATTTTTTTTAAATGCACGGCACGTGCAAACGTAAATCCGCAAAGGTAGTTTCTTCATTAAAAACACAAAGAGCGATATTCATGGGAGAAATTGCGAGTTCGAGCGACATGGTGAGACATAAACACACGAACGGTTACAGACGTACCCATGCGCGCCACCTCTGCTGGAGCCAATCTGAGCATTGCTGGGTAAATTCTAGTTGCTGGGTAATTTCTAGTTGCAGGGTAGTTTCTAGTTGCTGGGTCATTTCTAGTTGCTGGGTCATTTCTAGTTGGTGGGTAATTTCTAGTTGCTGGGTAATTTCTAGTTGCTGGGTCATTTCTAGTTGCTGGGTAATTTCTAGTTGCTGGGTCATTTCTAGTTGCTGGGTAATTTCTAGTTGCTGGGTCATTTCTAGTTGCTGGGTAGTTTCTAGTTGCTGGGTCATTTCTAGTTGCTGGGTAGTTTCTAGTTGCTGGGTCATTTCTAGTTGCTGGGTAATTTCTAGTTGCTGGGTAGTTTCTAGTTGCTGGGTCATTTCTAGTTGCTGGGTAATTTCTAGTTGCTGGGTAATTTCTAGTTGCTGGGTAATTTCTAGTTGCTGGGTAGTTTCTAGTTGCTGGGTCATTTCTAGTTGCTGGGTAATTTCTAGTTGCTGGGTAGTTTCTAGTTGCTGGGTCATTTCTAGTTGCTGGGTAGTTTCTAGTTGCTGGGTCATTTCTAGTTGCTGGGTAGTTTCTAGTTGCTGGGTCATTTCTAGTTGCTGGGTAGTTTCTAGTTGCTGGGTAATTTCTAGTTGCTGGGTAGTTTCTAGTTGGTGGGTAGTTTCTAGTTGCTGGGTAGTTTCTAGTTGGTGGGTAAATTCTAGTTGCTGGGTAGTTTCTAGTTGCTGGGTAGTTTCTAGTTGCTGGGTAAATTCTAGTTGCTGGGTAGTTTCTAGTTGCTGGGTCATTTCTAGTTACTGAGTAATTTCTAGTTGCTGGGTAGTTTCTAGTTGCTGGGTAGTTTCTAGTTGCTGGGTCATTTCTAGTTGCTGGGTAGTTTCTAGTTGCTGGGTAAATTCTAGTTGCTGGGTAGTTTCTAGTTGCTGGGTAGTTTCTAGTTGCTGGGTAATTTCTAGTTGCTGGGTAGTTTCTAGTTGGTGGGTAGTTTCTAGTTGCTGGGTAGTTTCTAGTTGGTGGGTAAATTCTAGTTGCTGGGTAGTTTCTAGTTGCTGGGTAGTTTCTAGTTGCTGGGTAAATTCTAGTTGCTGGGTAGTTTCTAGTTGCTGGGTCATTTCTAGTTACTGGGTAATTTCTAGTTGCTGGGTAGTTTCTAGTTGCTGGGTAGTTTCTAGTTGCTGGGTCATTTCTAGTTGCTGGGTAGTTTCTAGTTGGTGGGTAAATTCTAGTTGCTGGGTAGTTTCTAGTTGCTGGGTAGTTTCTAGTTGCTGGGTAAATTCTAGTTGCTGGGTAGTTTCTAGTTGCTGGGTCATTTCTAGTTACTGGGTAATTTCTAGTTGCTGGGTAGTTTCTAGTTGCTGGTTAGTTTCTAGTTGCTGGGTCATTTCTAGTTGCTGGGTAGTTTCTAGTTGGTGGGTAAATTCTAGTTGCTGGGTAGTTTCTAGTTGCTGGGTAGTTTCTAGTTGCTGGGTAAATTCTAGTTGCTGGGTAGTTTCTAGTTGCTGGGTCATTTCTAGTTACTGGGTAATTTCTAGTTGCTGGGTAGTTTCTAGTTGCTGGGTAGTTTCTAGTTGCTGGGTCATTTCTAGTTGCTGGGTAGTTTCTAGTTGGTGGGTAAATTCTAGTTGCTGGGTAGTTTCTAGTTGCTGGGTAGTTTCTAGTTGCTGGGTAAATTCTAGTTGCTGGGTAGTTTCTAGTTGCTGGGTCATTTCTAGTTACTGGGTAATTTCTAGTTGCTGGGTAGTTTCTAGTTGCTGGGTAGTTTCTAGTTGCTGGGTAGTTTCTAGTTGCTGGGTAATTTCTAGTTGCTGGGTCATTTCTAGTTGCTGGGTAGTTTCTAGTTGCTGGGTAGTTTCTAGTTGCTGGGTCATTTCTAGTTGCTGGGTAATTTCTAGTTGCTGGGTAATTTCTAGTTGCTGGGTAGTTTCTAGTTGCTGGGTAGTTTCTAGTTGCTGGGTAATTTCTAGTTGCTGGGTCATTTCTAGTTGCTGGGTAGTTTCTAGTTGCTGGGTCATTTCTAGTTGCTGGGTAGTTTCTAGTTGCTGGGTAATTTCTAGTTGCTGGGTAATTTCTAGTTGCTGGGTAGTTTCTAGTTGCTGCGTAGTTTCTAGTTCCTGGGTAATTTCTAGTTGCTGGGTCATTTCTAGTTGCTGGGTAGTTTCTAGTTGCTGGGTCATTTCTAGTTGCTGGGTAGTTTCTAGTTGCTGGGTAATTTCTAGTTGCTGGGTAATTTCTAGTTGCTGGGTCATTTCTAGTTGCTGGGTAGTTTCTAGTTGCTGGGTCATTTCTAGTTGCTGGGTAGTTTCTAGTTGCTGGGTAATTTCTAGTTGCTGGGTCATTTCTAGTTGCTGGGTAGTTTCTAGTTGCTGGGTCATTTCTAGTTGCTGGGTAGTTTCTAGTTGCTGGGTAATTTCTAGTTGCTGGGTAATTTCTAGTTGCTGGGTAATTTCTAGTTGCTGGGTCATTTCTAGTTGCTGGGTCATTTCTAGTTGCTGGGTAGTTTCTAGTTGCTGGGTCATTTCTAGTTGCTGGGTAGTTTCTAGTTGCTGGGTAATTTCTAGTTGCTGGGTCATTTCTAGTTGCTGGGTCATTTCTAGTTGCTGGGTAGTTTCTAGTTGCTGGGTCATTTCTAGTTGCTGGGTAGTTTCTAGTTGCTGGGTCATTTCTAGTTGCTGGGTAGTTTCTAGTTGCTGGGTAATTTCTAGTTGCTGGGTAATTTCTAGTTGCTGGGTAGTTTCTAGTTGCTGGGTCATTTCTAGTTGCTGGGTAGTTTCTAGTTGCTGGGTAATTTCTAGTTGCTGGGTAATTTCTAGTTGGTGGGTAATTTCTAGTTGCTGGGTCATTTCTAGTTGCTGGGTCATTTCTAGTTGCTGGGTAGTTTCTAGTTGCTGGGTCATTTCTAGTTGCTGGGTAGTTTCTAGTTGCTGGGTAATTTCTAGTTGCTGGGTAATTTCTAGTTGGTGGGTCATTTCTAGTTGCTGGGTAGTTTCTAGTTGCTGGGTCATTTCTAGTTGCTGGGTAATTTCTAGTTGCTGGGTAGTTTCTAGTTGCTGGGTAATTTCTAGTTGCTGGGTAATTTCTAGTTGGTGGGTCATTTCTAGTTGCTGGGTAGTTTCTAGTTGCTGGGTAGTTTCTAGTTGCTGGGTCATTTCTAGTTGCTGGGTCATTTCTAGTTGCTGGGTAATTTCTAGTTGCTGGGTAATTTCTAGTTGGTGGGTCATTTCTAGTTGCTGG